ATGGATGAGCTTCGAAGTATACATATGATCCGGATGTTTTATGAGATAATCGGTAATTCTTTGACTATTTTATCAGTATCCAAGGATAGTTTTTTAATATCGTTTTCATCATCTGAATTTTCCATGCTTTCATTCCATTCATTGAAATGCCTCCAAAGATAATAACTCCAAGGCCGTTTTCGTGAATCGGAATCCATACAACTTAAAGCCAAATTAATATAACAGTCTGGAGTTCCAGGTGCGAATTCTGGTCGTAATCCTTTACAAATCTTCATTGCAAGATCAATATCAAAATTGTAACCGTCGAAAGGCCTTTGTCCAGTTGACATCTCTGCCATAATAACTCCAAATTCGTAAATATCAGCAACTTTTTTGAACTTTTGACCTTTTAATACTTCCGATGCGACATATGGCATGACTCCATAAATATTACCTTCAGTATAATTTTCATCCACTTTTTTAGATAGTCCAAGATCTGAGATGCAAGATCGTATAATATTGTTAACGCCTTTGTCTTGTAAAATATTACCACTGTGAAAATCTATGAATATTTCCAGAAAAGTGAATTTGCTTTAAATCTATTGCGATATTCAAAAGCAATTTTAACTTAATCTTCCAAGAAAGTTTGTGAAAATTTTTCTTTAAAAACTTGTATAAATTTCCATTATTGACGTATTGAAATACCATAAAATATTCTTTTGTTTCTTTATTTTGAGTTAATCCAAATACCTTGAGCTTACTACCAAATGTTGTGCATTTCTTATGGGTGTTGAACTTTATAAAAATAAATTAATTTAATAAATATGTAAGTACACTTAAATTTAAAGAATAATGATATAACTTACTTCTTTCAAAAAATCAAGAGGATTTTCCTTAGAGCCGGGTAAAGTTTTGAGCGCAACAATGCTAAATTGTTCACTCTTTTATTCTGATTAATTTCTCGTTTACCATCTAACCATACCGCGGAATATATAAATCCAAATCAACCTCACCAATTAATTCTACTTTATCAAGTTCATTAAATAGAATCCATTCAATCATACTCTCACAAAATGTAGTTCTAAATCGAAACTCATTTATGTAATTATCAATATCTTTATTTCCGCTTGTCCATCTTTGAATCATTATGTCAGGATCACATGTTTGACACCATAATTCAAGAGTATTATCTTCATTACATTGTACGCATTTACCGTATGTAAGATCTCGAGAAAGAGGACGAGAACGAACAGCATTAGGATTTATTCTATCAATTCTAGACTTAATAATATATGAATAATCAATATAAGTATCTTTTTTAATCCAATCATATCGATAACAAATGGCAGTTTTCCAAATTCCCATAAGGTTATCAGTTCTGGCAGGTTTAAGATAAAATTCAAACGCATTATGCAAATTTTTTTCAACTCTAATCCCCCAATTATAACAAAAACCAGTCATAATAGCCCTTCACCGTTTTCTATGTCTGCGGCTTTTTTATAGTGTTCAAAAGCTTTTTTTTCATCTTTTTCAAACCCTATATCGCACTGGTGTCTCCATCCTAGTTCGCTAAGTTCTTTGCCTGTTATGTTCATTGTTACGATGAATTAAAATTTTTTTTTTTAAAAAAAAAAAGAAGCCATATAAATATGATTTTATACGCGAATCATTAACAAAATTACCTACATTTTTATTAATTAAAATGTTCGAAAGTATGCATTTACTAATGCATTCATTAATTGCCTCCAAATTTCATGATTCAGCAATAATCACATATTTTGGAAATCTCGTTAATTTCGAAAGTTCTCCTAAAAAAATCACCTTCTGCACACTAGTTAAAAAAAATTTCTTGCAAAATTTCTGCATAATACTGCCAAATACCTATCAACAACCTAACCAATATGTTAGATTTTAGAAAAAATTTGGCACGCAAATTTATTCGAATAAACCCAGCCAAATTAAGTTCCGAAAATCATATAAATCATATGGATGAAAATTTTTGATGAGTTTTGTGATTATTAAAATTAAATAAAAATAATTGGCCAATTCTATTTTGGGTCAGAGTGACCTATCATGTGATCATATGCCCAAGAATTTTCAAAACTTTGAGCGAAGATTTCTCGACAACCATCAAACCAAATTCGATAAATCTTTTTTTATTTGATTCTATGGTTAGAATTTGAATAAAAAATTTTCATCAAATTTAGTTAGATAATTATCGAGATATCTTCGCTCAAAATTAACGAAAAATCAAAATGCCTATAAAATAGAAGTTGCACCAAAATTTTTCTTTAACTTTTATCGGAGATATCTCGACAACCATCGAATCAAATTCGATAAAACTTTTTTTGTTTGAATTCTATGGATTCATAGAATTCTAATAAAAGATTTTTCATCAATTTAGTTAAGTGTGCAATGAGATAACTTCTCTCAAATTTAGAAAAAAATCAAACGCTTATCAAAATACCAAATTCTTTAACGAAGTTATCTAGACAACCATCAAACCAATGCGTTAAAATTTTTGTATTTGAATATTATGGTTCGTAGAATTCAGATAAAAAAAATTTCATCGAATTTAGTCAGGTGGTTGTCGAGATAGCTTCGTTCAAAGTTAGTTTAGACCAGTTTGTTTAGTTCTGGTAAACAAATGACGTCATGATATGTTTATCATGTGATCGTCGATCAGAAAATTTTTACGTATACGTATAGTATTTCATAAAAAAAAATAATAAATAAACTTTCGTTCAAACTGAAGATAAGATCAGATTGTCGAATCACTTCCGTGGTTTAACTTTGAAACCCCCCAATAGCTTAATTCGAAGAAAAAAAACTTATTTCATCAAATGGGTGCCTCCAAACACTTCCATTTTATTTTACGATTTCAGAATTTTGATACACGAATAAGTTTTTTTTTGGATTTTTACTTTATTTCCGAAATGCTCAACCTTTTTTTAATTCTGAAACCCGCATTGTAAAATATAAATTATAAATAAGAATCACTAAGATTAAATAGATTTATAAATCGTAAATTGTGTTAGTAATTAGTGAAGTGTGTATAATTGAGTTAGTATACGTATTTAATCGATGATACATTTAGAAGGGTAAAAATCTATAAAAATTATATTAGTTTTGTCAAAAAGGTCTAACATTACTTTAAATAAACAAAGGAAAGATGGATTGAAAAAGATGTAAATGTTGGTATTAAGAAATTTTAACTTGCTTATTTTAGACTTATTGCTGTATTGAATTAATGAATTTTATGCTTGCTGACCAAACCAAATTAATTGATATTATTAGATTTAAGCCATTTAATAATTTGACGAACAATATATCGAATAGTCAATTTTAACTATTGACTATCAATGACTTTTTTAGGTAAATTAAATAGTAATACGTATCAATAAACCTGGACACTAGATTAGGACAAACAAAAATATTTATGTGAACAATATTATAAGATTAAGATTACATAGCAATACATGCATCTAATTATGGAATTAAAAGTCGATTTAACTTAAAAGTTATAAATATAATCCAGATAGATCCGAGCAATCAGCTTGTACTGTACAATACGATAATATAAAATTTTTAATACATATATATATACAACTAAGAAATAGTTTTAAGAAACTGTTGTAAGCCGGAGCTAATAAATTATCGAATATAGTTATGCATCAAAAACGTAACTTTTGTCACGTGTGCGAACAGACATCCATATGCATCAAAAACGCTATTTTTGATGTACTTTACTCGTCCATTAAGGGTAGGGTGAACGTAGATCAATTTCTATATATGTATATCGTCTAAAAAAATTTTATGCAAAAATTGAACATACGTTATATATAAAAGTTTTTAAAAATACAATTTTTTTTTATAAAATTTTTACAGTATATATATTAAACCTAGGGATGGTAAAGTCTTCAGGACCGGGACCTTGGAACCCGGTCTTAGGACCTAATTTACAAAAACCAAGTCCAAATTTTAGGACCCGGGTCTATAAGTCTTTGATAGGTTCCAATATAAATAATGCCAAAAAAATAAAATTCTTGATTTGCAATTTAACTTCAAGTAATATCCAGTTTATCTGATAGTCCGGCAAACAGACATAAATAGTCTATTAAAAAACTTCTAAGACAAATTTATTGGCTGTTTTATTTTTTAGTCCTTTTAGAGATGTGATCTGTTATCTGTTTTTGGCCAAAAACAGATGGATCGTATTTCTAAAACATTATATTCTTTAACACTAATAAATTCAGTTTTTTATAATATTTATTTTTTTATTTATATTTATAATAACAGAAGCTATTATTTGATATAGATCATGATCTATTCGCCCAATAATTATTCTAGTTTGGAATTGGGATGGCACTATACATATGTATGTACATACATATATAACAGAATATCATATATCATATAAGTGCATTATTTTAAAAATCAGGCCCATCAAAAATATCAGTACGCATGAATATCCCCAATCAATGATATACGAATTCAATAAATCGGCCTTATTATATGAGTGATTATTATTTCGCACTTAGACAGTAATATAGCTCAATTGATTAAATCATTCAAATCACAGATAACTCGAGAAAAAAAAATTTAAAACGAGTTATTTTCTGTAATATTTGTAATTAAAGATAATCTCTAACTTAAATCAACTTCCCATTAAATTAAAAATAATACCTGACTTAAATCAACATCCTGTTACTAAATTACACCATATTAAAAGTAAGTTTATAAATGCAGGATACAATTAGAAAAGGATGAATCAACATGTATTTATACTTACTTTAAATTCGTAATAAAATTATACCCATATTTTTTTAAATAAAAAGCCTAAAAAGGAGATATAAAAGATAAGTATTACTCAATTAAAAGATAAATAAATAAAATAAAAAATAAAAAGTAAAGTAAAAAAATAAAAATAATTGTATATTTTGTAACTTGTAAAATCTCTTCTTTTTTTTTTATAATATAAATTATAAATCAATTAAATCAAAGATTATGAAAAATAAAAGATGGATATTGAAAGTAATGAAAATGCTGAATATTATAACCAAGATGAAGAATTATATGATCAATTAACCCAGACATCTGAAGGAAATACATCAACTAATTCAATATTAGATGATCAATTAACCAAGACGTTTGAAAGAAATACATCAACTAATTTAAGCAAGAATATAAGAAAACCATCACCTTGGTGGCTATATTTTAGTTTCAATTCTAACCGTCCTGATATTCCTATTTGTAATAAATGTGGTCAAAAATTTTTACTTAAGAGTAGTAATTTGAGTTTAGAGAGGCACTTGAGTAGTCAATATAATATTATTGTTCTAAAGATTAAATGCTATCAAACAAAATTACCTTTTGTTCATTATAATCCATGGCCTGAAGCACAAAAAAAAGAACACGATCTAGCTTTAATCACTTGGATTATCATAGATCAACAACCATTTTGTATTATTGAAAACAATAAATTTCTTGAATTAATAAATATACTTAACTCATGCTACAAAATCCCTAAACGTCATCAAGTTAAGGATATGGTTGTTAGCTATTTTAATAAGCAAAGGACAAAAATAGCTGATATTTTGCACAAAATCCCAGGAAAAGCTTCCCTGACTTCAAATATGTGTATGTTAACTATTAATAATGATGCTTTTCTTGGCATTACAATTCATTATATAGATCAGCAATGGATGTTTCATTGGTTTTTGTTGGATATTGTTCTCTTTACTACATGCCATACAGGTAAGGTTGTAAAATTATGTATTTTCACAGAATAACACACAGAGCATTGTTTCAAATTTTAGACTAAAATAAGCTTAATTTAGACCAAAATTTGAAACCATGCCCCTGTGTGTTATTCTGCAAAAATACGGTACTATAATTTTCATGAAATTTTGCACAAGTTCAGTATAGTTTGTAACTTCTGTAATATGACCAAACATATAGGAGCAAATATAGCAAGAGCAATTAATAATATCCTTATAGAATTCAATCTAATAAATAAAACATTGGCACTTACTACTAATAATGAGTCGGCAATGTTGGTTTGTGAACACATCTTAGCAAATAATTTGCAGGCAGAATTGGACTACCAAATCTTTCATCACTACAGATGCAGTGCTCATATTTTAAATTTAGCCGCACATCATGGATTGGAAATTGTTAATCAAGATATTGTTAATATTCACACATTAATGTCAAAGATTAAAGGATCAATGGTCTTATGTGATGAATTAAAGGAGCTATGCAAAATGCAAAAATTAGATTACCTAAAACCAGAATTAGATATCATGACTAGATGGAATAGTATATACTATATGTTAAATAAAATAT